CGTATTTCCAAAATTTCAAGCAAGAGTTTGTCCAGCTCTGTATAGAGAGAGATCAAGGATCAAATTCATGATATTTTGCATGCAAGAAACATACTCTACTACTGGGAAACAGGTTTTGCAATCCATTACCAGTCCAAGTTTCTATGTTGCTGAAGGCAGAGGAACAAATGATGCCTACATTTCCCAAAGTCAAGGTGAAAAAGTACTAAAGACCAATGATGTTATTTTTGCAACTAAGTCAAAACTTCTCACAAGCATATCTTCCCTCTTTCTGGAAGTAAAAATATGCTCTTGATATATTAAATAGCTAACAATTTACAGCTATTTGTCCATCCTTGCCTTTGATGGTGTCATAAACCTCATCTGGAAAAACACAAAGGGGGCACAATTTATATGCAGAAATCCAAAGTAAAACACCATCTGTCTGGTCAAAGTATCCAAACTGAAGTGGTATCTATATCACATCCCTCCCAGTTGATGTTTACGAACTGCTGCTTCCCTTTAGTCTTTCACAGTTAGCTCATTCTGGTTTTGTTTTCCAACCACAAATTACTCTTATTGGTCCCCCCCCCCCGCCTCATTTTTGTATTCTGTCTCATTTTCTAAAAGTCCCTTCTCTTCTGTTGAATGCCTTAGAATTCCCCACAGGTCAGAACCAAAACTTCCTCCCCAAAATGCTAAGACAATGACATGAATCCTTTCTCTGATGCTTCCCTGTACTGGATGTCATTCCCTACTACTCCCACAACCTTAGGCTATTTTAGCAGAAGGGAAACTCCTGATAGTAAAGTAAGACTTATTTTTGGTTCACTGACCCAACTGGGAGATGACAGGTCAATAAATCCCCCAATAAACACACTGCCGCATCATGCTTTCAAGTCTTCGAAAAGCAGCTGGGAAAGCTTCTATTCCTGGGTAGCTTTTCCTCTGTTTACTCCCCCACTCCTTTCCTTAGATCTTCTCCCTAATTCAAAGCAAGCCACAAGTTCACACACCAACACCCAGGCCTTGGCTCTCTCTCATCCAGCTGTGCTTACTTTCCCATCCTTTGTGTGTCCTTACTGTTTTGTTGTTTCTGGAAAACCAGTCAGGATAGGGAGCAGTTCTGCATAATTCATGTTGCTACAGATCAGGGAAAATATAGGTGTATCTACACTGTAGATTGAATGCAGTTTGACAACACTTTGCCTGTTGTGACTCAATGCTTTGGAATCTAGGGAGTTGTAGTTTTAGAAGGTCTTAGACTTGACTGCTAAAGAGTCCCTCACCAAACTACAACTCCCAGGATTCTATAGCACTGAGCCGTGGCAGGATAAGTGGTGTTGAACTGCATTCATTCTACAGTATAGACGTAACCTATCATTATAAAACACATACAAATCAACAGGGGGTGAGGGAGTGGTAACAAACACACAAAACTAGCTTAAGAAGAAAATGCAAACACAAAAAGCCAAAACACTATTGTCCACAAATTTATATTTAAATAGCCCCATTCTCTAGGACTGTATAAGTTTTCTGGAATGACGCTACGGAGGAGATCTATTTGTGTTGATTTACTGATTTAGCAGTTTGTCACTGCCATTACAATTATTCTATATTCAAATACATAACAACTGTCACAAAATTGGTGGGTAGCAAGACAAGAGAGGGAAGACCAGTGGGTTAAATGGGGAGGGGGGGGATAAGGGCCAGGAATGGGGGTAGGAGGAGACTGAGGCACAGTAACCAGTTTTGGACAACTGGTGGTGGAGCCTCAGTGGCTGACCTCTTGTCCACTCTTACAAATTGGCTGCTGTTGTTTCTGGGGAACAGGCAATGGAATGTCGATTTGGGAAGAGATCAGCAATTGGCACTAGTCTGGTCCACTACCACTGTTAATTGTATCTGTAAATAAATGCCGTGGCTTGTTTTACTCCAGGCTTGAGTGTCCGGTTTTCATTCTCAATGAAATATCATGCCGATGATAAGTATGGAAAAAGCCTTAAGCAAATTCCTCCTAATTTCCTCTAACAGAACTCTACACGCTACTGCAGAGCTTGGAAACTCACATTAAGAGGAATTAACATAATAACATCCTGAAGTTCTTCTCTATTACTGAGCGGGAGTACGATAACCCACTCATTCCAAGAACGTATCCCTCTACTTCTCAGTTACAGTCAGCCCAGAGCATCTTTCATTATATCATATCATCACCTGGGTGAGTCCCAGAGCTTCATCCTACTACTAATTAGTCATAAATGGTTTCAGTCTGCCATCATATTCATTCTTCTTACAAGTTTCCTTCCCAGCTCTGTTCCATTGCTGCTGTATTACTATATTTAGAGAATTATTATGTCTTACACAGCTCTGGTACAAGACTCCTTCAGTGCAACCCAATCCTGTTCTCTGATTTAAATCAGGAGCAGAGGCTTTTTCTATTGATTATGTGAATTTTTACTATTCACTGCACTACAACTGTGAAGGTAAAGTAAAGTTTTCCCCTATCATTAAGTCTAGTCGTGTCCGACTCTGGAGAGCGGTGCTCATCTCAATTTCTAAGCCGAAGAGTTGGCATTGTCCATAGACACCTCCAAGGTCATGTGGCTAGTATGACTGCATGGAGTGCCGTTACCTTCCCGCAGAAGCAATACCTATTGATCTACTCACATTTGCATGTTTTTGAACTGTTAGGTTGGCAGAAGTTGGACCTAACAGCGGGAACTCACCCCACTCCCTCGATTTCAGTTGTCAACCTTTTGGTCAGCAAGTTCAGCAGCTCAGTGGTTTAACCCACTGAGCCACCAGGCAGCTCACCAGGGAGCACAACTGTGAATATTCTGAATATGTTGAAAATTGCATTTCAGAATGACAAGGAAACTCTCAGACAGTTCGCAAAGTAGCACAGTTTCACTTTTTGAAAAAGGAAGGAACATACAAAGATACAAATAAATACAACAGCATTCTCAATGCTTCTTGGCAGAGGTTTGGACAGGATGGCCCATGAGGTCTCTTCCAACTCTCATTCTATGAATGCTAATACCTTTTTGAAAGGAAATAAACTCGCCATAATGAATGTCATGGAAACAATATACCACTAGAATTCTATTTAGATTTCTTGGGGAAAAGCTGGTGACTATTAAATGAGTTGCAGGCTTTACAATGGCAAAAATAACACTTTGGAAGTGGAAGACTAAACATATGATGGGGTGATGCAATAAGCTGTAACTAATTCTTGCACAAAATAACTATTTGCACAGAAAAAAACTTGCATCCCACGGACAGTGTTATTAGCATTATTATAAACATGGATTCATCCCCAAATCTGCAAAATAAAATTCAGCTGTCTGTCAGTTTGACAAGAAGCTGATTGTTTGAGATAAGGAAGGAAGGAAACATATTCAGTATCAAAACTCCTAGATAGGACATGGAATTTGTCCAGAATAGAAGCTGCTTAATCAGGAACATAAAGTCTACCCAGAAATAATGAATTATCCAGATCAAATTTGTCACAATATGATTGCTTTTATCAGAATCATTAGAACAGAGGTTTACATTGTCAGCAATCTCTATGTTAACAGACCACTGTCATTCCAAGTCTTTTATCCTGTCATAATGGTGCATTTCCTCTATAACTGATGTGTAGTTTCAAAGATATGGATAGATCTTAGTTCCCAAAAACAAAGAATGACTCACGTAAAACTATGTCATAGACCTTTCTTCCCCTGGTAATTTTCTTAAGCTTCTTGAAACCGGAAGCTTGTAAAGGCCAGCTTTTGGAAAGATAGATCTCCCCTCCCAACCATAAAAGTGAAATTAATTCCTCAAACACCATGGATAGATGACTCCCAAGTTTCAGTATGTGACCAATGGACAATAGCTGTAAGATCAGGTTAATGTCAGTTCTTAACAACTCTGCAACTGGAAGGCTTTGAAAATACCACATTTGCTTTGTGGCAGGCACTCCTATTCAGTTATCAACCCGGTCTCAACTTCTCAATGACTAACCGCACACAGTATTTATCTTTCTATCAGTCATTTACAAAACCACCATTTACTTGTGTTTATATGTGCCTTCAAGTCACCTATCAACTTATGGCAACCAATGAATTTCATAGGGCTTTTATAGGGAGTACTCAGAGGTGTTTTTGTTAATTCAATTTGCCAAATCTCATAAGTAAGGGGAAAACTGGGAATATGAGATATTTCCCGTTTTTAACTTTGTCTGGTTTTGACAAGGACATAGGACACCATGGATCTGGCCCGCCAACAGCAATTCTTGCAGGGTTTTCCTTTCCATGTGCAGAAGAGCTCACATGCTTGTGTTTGATCTGCTGAAACAGGATGTCTATGTTCTATTATCAGCAGATCATTTTAGAGCAGTCAGGGCAAGATTATCAATACTTAAATCAATACAATTGTTTCAGGCACTGTTGGCTATAGGCCCAATTCTGAAGAAAAGAATAGTAGCTTGAATTGTCTTCTTTCCTCATCTGTTTCTGAATATTCTAAAACTTCCATTATTGGCTGGGGGATTACTCATCAATAAGGTGATTGAACATCTCCAGAGAGTTGTCGTCCAACAAAAGTACCTCATCCAAGCTCCAATTAACACCTACACAAGACATCGATCTCTACTATGACCCTAAAATGTGCAAAGATAGAGGAAGATATACATTCTTCAAATCAAGCAAACCAGTGTCCATATCTTTTGCATTGCAAGGTCAAAGGGTGGGAAAACACACAGTTGCATTCACACTCTGGATCACACTTTCACTGGCCATGAAGCCCTCTTCCACTCCACCAAAAAACTCCACTGCCCAAATTTGGTATGATTTTCAGATTATTTTTTGCCTTAAAACCATGCAGAAATAAAGGTAGATGAAAATGCCCCCACTGATGAGAACATCCCAAAAGCACAAAACACCTTTGTTCTCCTCAGAACATCACCCAAAATGATGTAATCCAATGTCCCAATCCTGATTATGAGAGGGACTCTGAGGGGAAAATGCCATAGTCCTTACCCTTCTCAGGTCGTCCAGCCCATACTCCATGGATGATGTCAGGACCTCCAGGGCCTACATGGGAAAGAACAGGGGATATCGCATTGCTGGTGCTCTTTGTCCTGTAAGACGTAACACATGCCCCAAGTCCATTGCATCTGACTCCTTCACACTCATTTCTATGTAATTTTGTTACCAATAGCACAATATTCACAATACTATTTATTAAAAAGACACACATGGATCATAATGGCTTCCTTAATGACATGTAAGATATACAAACTCAAGGGAATGTGTATATCTTATAGTGAGAGTCCCTTTTGGCACCAGGCAAGTGGGTTTTAGAGTCCTTGTAAGCATCATGATCAAATGCAAACACCTGTCCAGTGGCGCTGAAAAGGTGAATTTATATTTAATAGGCCTTACCAGTTAGTTTTAACCTTAGGTTGGCATTTCAAGGCTACAAAAAGATCAGTAGCTAAGAATAGATCAGGTAAGTACACTTTCTTGTAACCAACCTGCTTACTCTGTTCTCATATTAGAATGGGAGGTGAACCGTGACGCCACCTATTGATTTATTTTGTTTGCTTTAGCACTGTATAAACTCTGGAAGTCTGTCTCATGCTAGTATTGTTTGTAGGTATATACAACTAGGAGAACTGGTGTAGCATTGTGTGGATAGAATTGGTTACTTAGGGGCTTTGTTCTACTGTTTGCTGGGAGTGAATGCTGGGACTCAATCAGCTCAAGGGCTTCACTACTTCCACCCACTGCATCACTTTCAACTAATAAAACTTATTTGTCTCAGTAATGTGTTTCAGTTTTCAGTACCAAATGAAGTCTTGGGGAGCTCTGAAATATCATACCTCATTCATCTTTTCCCTATTACTGTAAGGGCAGCATAACTGGTCATAACAACCCTATCAATTTAAACCTCAAAGGTAAAGGTGGGTATGGAATCTTTAATATGAAGGATGAGACTGGACTCATTCAAATGAATTGACAGATGAGGGAAGCAATGAGATATCAAGGCACAACTATTTAGGTTGTAAATTGATAGCAGCTAGTTTTTATCTGCAGGCGTTCTGTTTTAAAATTCAGCAATTTTATCTTATGTTGTTATAATTTTATGTGTTATTGTTTTATACTTATGTACCATTTTATGTATATGCTGCATCCTGAGAGCCTTGTAAGCTGCCCAAGTCCCTTCGGGGAGATGGTTGCGGGATATAAATAAAGATGATGATGATTATTATTATGATTATTATTATGTGCTTGGAATATGGAAAGACTATAATTCAGTCAAGACCAGACCCTGAAAGCAATTTCCAGTATACCAACTGAGTAATGATATTGCAAAGACTGCAAAGCATATTCAAAAATCAGTTTGAGATTCAACAGAATAATGTTGTTCCAGATCTTTGGGTTTAGTTTGCTTAGTGTGCATATGTGCTGTATATATATATATACCACTTTTCAACAGACTTGTTCTTGCTGCATTTTAAATTAAAAACTTAAGAATCTATCTATAATCTATCTATCTATTTATCTATCTATCTATCTATCTATCTATCTCATAACCCAGAATTGAAACTATCTGCGCTAAAATCTTCCCAAGCTGGTTACTCTTCAAGATGGTTGCACTCTCATCATTAGCATGAAGAAGGCTAAGCCTTTGACAATACAAGGCTAAAGAAGTTGATAATTTATTATAGTTGTTGGTTTAAACAATAAAATATCTTGTTAAACATTGATTCAGGACTTTGGAAAACCCTAATGCTTTAGGATGGGATATTTTCATTTCCTAGAATCATGTTCAGTTTCAAAATCCACACATAAATATCGTAGAGCTACAGTGTGGGCATTACGCAGCATTATTACCTGAACATCTGTAAAAAAAAACTCTCCAAGTTTCAGTCATTTGTCATGTATAGTTTTTTTTAAAGCCAGGACTCTCTTCCACCCCCCACCCCCACCCCCAAAAGAAGTCCCATATATAGCTCTCCTCTGGCCAGAGAAAAGGTCTCATTACCTTCTGTATTTGTAGATAAACTTCTTCTTCTGTTAAAAAAATATCCAAGTAACTTTTCTATTGTCCCAGACTCTTTTTTTGCAATTCCTGGCATCAACTGCAAGAGTGAGTTCCTACCCTAAAGTGGATTCTTTTAATTCTGAGACATATTGGAACAGTATGCTCCTTTCTTTTCTCCTTTTTATTTTTTTAAATTATTGTGCTGCATTGCATCAGTAAAATATCCCCTTTGGACTAAAACCCTTAGAACAAAAAAATCACAGAGGGCAAAAAAAATGGCCCTTCCAGTCATGGGATCACTTTGCTAACCACTTCCCAGTTTAAAATAGCATTTGGAAGAACCCTGGCGCTGATTCAAGAAATTACTACAAAGGGACCCCCAAAGAATGGAACAAGATAATGGAGAGAACAACCCAAACCAATTTGGAAATTAGTCGATGCCAGTAATTTTAAGATTTCAGCCAAGTGCTGTAAAGTAGCAATCAGCTCAATGACAATCTCAGAAACCGGTGGTAGTTGCTTAGGCCAGTATTATTGCACAAACCTGCTGCCATGAAAATATGCAGGATTTCCAAACTAGGGCAGAAAGATCTATGTCAAAAGGCTCACAGAAAGCCTGACTTCAAATATGAGGACTTGTGCAGGGCAATGGATGGAATAAATCTGATACAAAGATCACCTCAGAGTTATTGGAACAAAATCTTAGTATATCCAATCAAGCAGCAGCTGCACTATCGTTCTGCTAGCACGTTGCTGGCATTTTTGTGGCTTAGAAAGACCCTGTGATTAGCTACTCAGCCACTGTGCATAATTATTCCTTCTAGGTACATAGTTGCCATGGTAAATCGGGAGGGAAATCAGGAGTACTAGCAGCACCATCTTAAGAATTTCACTAGTCCTCCTAAATAATATGAATAGTAATTGGACAAAAAAGGCTATAGTAAAGATGCATAATAAAAGTATATTTGAGATGCAATAAAAACACCAAAGGAAACTTAAGAGAGCAACTGCAGATTAAAAAATTAGTGAAAATGCAAATGATGGAAGAAAAGGCAGATTTTTATCTAGAGTCTTGCTGGCACAAGGAGCCCCTTGTGCCAGCAAGACTCAAGACCGACAGGTTGGAGGTTCAAATCTGGGGAGAGCACAGATGAACTCCCTCTGTCAGCTCCAGCTCGCCATGCTGGGACATGAGAAAAGCCTCCCACAAGACGGTAAAACATCAAAACATCTAGGTGTCCCCTGGGCAACATCCTCGCAGACAACCAATTCTCTCATATCAGAAGCAACTTGCAGTTTCTCAAGTCGCTCCTGACACGAAAAAAAATCCTTGACTAAAATTATTTTTGATAAGGTTTTAGAAGGCCAGCCATTAGTGATGGACATCATACTCACAATGAGGTTGTTAAGGGAAACAGCATTAGTGTACAGATACTCAATGACCGCAAGGAACACCTTTGGCTGCACCTGTCTCAGGATCAATGGGGCACGGACCTCCTGGGACTGGCTCAGCATCGAGTGGAAGGCCTGGCAGCGGGAGGACAGGAGGCAGCGATGGGCAAAGACCTCCTGCTGCTCTCTGCCAACCAGAAATGTCACATCACTGTAGAGAGAAGGGCAATTGAGAGCTCAGTATGGTTATCAGTGGTTACCAGACATACTTCCTCCTCTACTTCATCCACGTACTTTCTTTCTACTGAGAAACAAGACAGATTCACAACAGATAAATGAAGTACAGTTATCCCTCCACATTTGTGGTTTTGATCTATGTGGATTTCATTATTCACATATTTTATTTAAAAGTTATCTCTAGGAATCTTTAGATCTTCTGGTGTGAATCTGGTCAACTTCATCCCATCTTGCTGTAAATCCTGGAAATTACTAGAGAGAACACCTCTCTAGTAGGAATCTCTAAGTCTTTCAATGTAATTCTGTGTTCAGCTTCCAGTGGAATTTGACTATAGTCATGTTGGAAAACCTAGAAATTCCTAGAGCGGTGTGTCACTCAGGTAAAAAAAAATTACATTTTTTTAAATTTGCATTTTTTCCAGTTTCATGGAGGTCTTGTATCTTCAACCCCAGCTGACTGTATGTCTTCATGCACACAGCATTGCATAAGATGCAATGACAGCTGCCAACCTGGATAGTTTTAAACAGGGGAGGGGTTATGTTATTTTAATCAGGCTTGTGGGCTTCCCAAATAGTTAACCACTATGAAAACAAAATGCTGGACTAGAGAGGCTTTCTGTGTGGCCCATCAACAGCCTCTTCTTGTGTCCTGAGTACCTGGCAGAATCCCTCCAGACCATCTTAACTGACAACAGATGTAACATCTGAGACAAAATATAACACAGGCCTGTGACTCTGACATTGTCATTTTTCTTCTCCTCTATAGTTTTTAACATCTTTGCCTGATGATTTTGGGTTTTGTTGCATTTTACTGCATGGTCATTTGCAGATACTTAGACACAAACAAAGGAAAATGTTCACCGGCGCACACTGCTAACATTAAAAGATCCCTTTTTACCATGGGAATCCAATCACAAATACCCAATGCTCTTGCCAATAAACTCCTCTACTTCAACACCAACTGTATTGTAGGAGAAAAGACGTGCCTACCACACTGCTGATCAAATACTAATGATCACTTTTGTCTTGTAGAATCGCACAACTGATTTTTTTTCATGTCAGGAGCGACTTGAGAAACTGCAAGTTGCTTCCACTCTGAGAGAATTGGCCGTCTGCAAGGATGTTACCCAGATGTTTGATATTTTTCCATCCTTGGTGGAAGGCTTCTCTTAAGCCCCTGCATGGGAGCTGGAGCCGACAGAGGGTTTTCAACCTGCTCTCCCTGGATTTGAACTGCTGACCTATCGGTCAGCAGTCCTGCCAGCACAATGATTTAACCTATTGTACCACCAGGGGTTCCAAAAGATTAAAAAACTGTTAGAGGTTTTACACTGTATAGGTAGTATTTCATTACAATTTGTGTTTCTCTGCAAGAAGAGAAACACAAAAATCATTGCAGCCTGCTTCACTTCCATGGGATGTGGGGAGTTGGAAGTATAAGGACTGACTGTGCAACCAGATGGCACAACTCAGTTGTTTCTGTCCTTCTTCCAAACATGCTACTGTGTGTCCAGACTCAGGAATTGTATGTTCTGTCTATTGCATACTTTATTTTCTCTGTCTCCTTCTGTTATAGGATACAATTTCACAAATACAGGGATCTAATCTATTATATGCTCATTGTGAAGATCCCTTACCTTGCCAGCCAGGGTGGCAGGGCCCAGGAAGAGACAGGCTAGGTAGTTTCAGCTTAGAAGGCCTGGCAGAGAGCTGCTGGAGCCATCTTAGTTTAGGGAAAAGCTCCAGTTCAGAGAGGGGGAGTGGCCTAGGCCTGAGCCAGCCCAGCAACAGCCAGGATTGGTTTAGAAAAGAGGGGCGGAGTTAGCCAGATGGAGGGAAAGAGAACAGATAATTTGGACAGTTCAGTTCTGAGTAGAGTTGAGTTCAGTTCTGAGTGAGGTTAGAGCAGGATTTGGGAGTTTTAGGAGTCTCTGTTAAGAATAGGCAGCTTGCCTGAAGTTTGCACAGCAAAATAGGCTGTGGCAGACTGAGTTACAGCTATTTTAGGAAAGAAGATAGCTGGGTTTTGTGTTTAAGAAATTGTAACAAAGGAAAGAACCATTCTCTCAAGTAACCATTACGCTTCTAGGAACCAAGAACATTTTTATTGTAACAGCCAAGCCTCTGAACCTGCATTCACTTTTAATTCTGTAACTTATAATCAATAAACTCTTTCTTGTTATTTTTAAAATTGAAGCCTGAGTCAAGTGCCATTTTTGGTTGGAGTCATTTTCCTTGTTGAATCAACCTCTCCTGTTTTCCCCTCAAAGAAAGCCCTTGTTAATACACAGTATTTAGTGG